AGGCTTTCAGGCTTACTTTAGGCACCGCCTCTTTTACCAAGACATCACTGACTCTCAGGGCTTGGTTCGCCGCTGCTCCTCTGGGTTCCTGTCATAAGTAACCTTAATCTCACTGATTCTGCCTCCTCCACTAGCCTAAGAGACCCAAAAAGCAGAAGATGCGTCTCATTTTTTGTGATATCATAGCACACAGCGCAGACCTTGCATAGTAAACACTCTATAATATATTTTTTTTATTAAATGCAACTATATAGAGATATCTTGTAGGTAATAGACAACATTGGTTAGAATTTGAGATTCTATCTTGGGTTGACATCGCTATATAAGTCATACATATATAAGCCAAAAGTAAGTAAGATCAACCTAGAGAGAGAGAAGGTATGAGGAAAGTTACCTAGGATTGAATGTTGGGAATGCTGACTTTCAGGAGGAGGCAGAGAAGAAACAGCAAAGGCTCTTAAGAAGGAATAGTAAGAGAAGTAGGTTCAAAACAGAGAGGTATCACAAAAGGCAAGAGAGCAAACAGTTTCAGAAGGAAGTGACGACAGTGAGCAGGTAAGAAAAGGACCAAGAAGTGCCTCTAGATTCGAGAATTAGAAGGTGACTGGTGGCTTTTTCTAGAACAGTTTCAGTGGGATATTGGGAAGGAACTCTAATTGTAGTGAATTGCAAAGTGGACAACAGGTAAGAAAATGAGGCATTAGGTATAAGCTTGTCTTTCTAGAAAGTAGCTAAGGGGATGGCAGAAGGAAAATAGAGGCGGGGAAACCTGTTTTAGGTTTATAGAGGCTGGTGGAAACTCAGTTGAAGCAACTAATGGAGCAAGTCCCTTAGGAGACAGCAGACACTAGAATGAAGGGCCTGATTGTGTCATGTCCCTCATTAAGCTCCAGCTCCAGGGCATAGGTGAAAAGACTTCATGAATTGGCTCTTGATTGCTGCCTTCCCAGTCTCATTGTTATAGTTCTTTCTTTCAAATTTCTACTCTATTTCATTTTTTGTGAATATTTTTTGTACTATGTTAATGATATATTTATGTTCATATATAAAGGTATAGAGGGAATTCGTATGTTATAAAATATAGATGTTATGGATATTTAAAAACAAATCAAGTTTCAGTTTTTGACCTCAGAGAGCTTCAGTTTTGCACTTAAATAAAAGATCATATTCTTTAAAGTTAGCTTTCTAATAGGAAAGTCGGAAAAATGCCATCTGCATTGAATTTGCGAACATCAAAATCTGTTTCAGTTTTGGAGTCTAATAATTTACAGGGCTGATAATTTTATCCAACTACACTTTACTATTGTTTTTCACTTCGAGACAGAGACTGGGAGACATGTTTACAGTTAAGGAGTTGAGTAATATTCATTCAAAAAGCTTTGATTTCTAAGGAGCTTGCCTTGTGAATATATTACATTGAGAAAGATTGGAATGCATTGTGGACAAATTACAATTCATTCTGCAATCTATCATTTTTGCATTTATGTGCTCTAATATTTGCGGATTGAAACTTGAATTATTTTAAATACTGAGAGTAAGAGTCGTTTGAATTTTCTTAGGACAGAAAAATGCAGAGAATGATTTGCTCCCTCGTGCCAAAGGAGATATCAGAACCCTCTATGATAAACAAAGCATATTCCAACTTCCTTTTCCTGGTCCCCAAATTTTCATCTTCACCATGGCTATCTCTCTAAGGGTGTATAAACTGACACTCTATCCTCTTCTTGCCCCATTTCATTTGCATTTTTGCCAGACTCTTCCAACAGGTGTGCAATCACTTTGATATTTGATTGGTACCATAACTATTGTTGAAGATAGATTTTGTTTATATTAAACTATAATGCTACCATTATGGTCGTCCTTTCCATTTCTGCTGGGAAAATTATACTGTACACTTTTTATCTATCCACATAAATCCAAATCCTACATTTCGGTGGTGGAGTATCTAGAAAAACTGCTGGCAGAGTGAATGCAGTGGCAAAAGTACAGTGCTTATTGAAAGCCCTGCACTTGCACTCATGCGACATTGGCACACAGATCCTTTCCAACAGTAGAACAGCCGTTTTACAACTTAAAAAAGAAACTTGGGTTCTTTTTAAGGCGTGGTTTGCTGCCCCTATAAATCATCCAATTCTTGTCTCATGTGATAGGAGCTTGATCTGCAAGATTTTGTTATTTTTAGTATATCCATGACTACAAGAAATGGTTAGGAATAGAATGTTAAACATTGATGATCCAAAATCCTTAGTGGTGTTTAGGGTGACCATATTGACCATACAGAATTCTTCTCCAAACCACATCTCCCAGCCAAGTGACAATTTACTTCTTCCTGCAATGACCTATTCTTTTAGGACCAATGTACCACAAATATTTAAAACTAGCTGACCTCTTCAGTGTTCTTGGGGAGACTCACCAACCATCATTAAATAAATAAAAACCTGCTGCTACTCATTCTAGAGCATTTAATAAATAGTTGTATATAAATATGAGAAGCAGCTCCATTGCAATATAAGCTTACAATTCATCTGGTCTTGGAAATGTCATTTTAGGGTTCATGCTTGAAATCAGTATTTTCTGTCTCTCTCAGGTAAGTCACATCTTTCTTTTGTACCTCAGTTTCAGCTCTTTGGGGGATAGTTGCTTGAATTTTTGAGATTCTCCCCCACAGTACTCCTAGCACTGAAATTTTGTCCAATGTGTATATAGCCAATATTTTACTTCAGGCTGTCTAAAACTTGCCATAAATTTGGTACAAATCTGTTTAGCTGTTTTAATATATTTGGTAACAAAACCACAGAAACTTAATTACACACACACATGCATAAACATTTATATATAAATATAGATGTAAATATGGACTCACTTTTAATGAAGTCTAATTGAGAGCATTTACTATTCTTGTCCTTCATAATAATTTCAGTAAATTTAAAAATTGATCCATTTTTAATCACTTTCATGCATCTGAAGTGTTTGACACTTTGAAATTTTAGCTCAAATTTCCTGTCACAGAGTTGAACCTGTAAGGATTCAAATTTTAATGTAGTGTCATTGTGATGAAATGGGACTTTATTTTCAAAAAAGAGGAAAGGGAGGGAGTAATGAAGCTTCAAGCAAAACTATCACCTTCTATTTAATTTGATTTACAACTAATATCAAAGAATACGAAGAGGCCAGGTCTTGCATGTACATTTTTAGAGCAGGGAGAGGGATGATAGAGAGATGATGGGGGTATAGCGAAGCCTGTTAGACTTTGATAACATTCTTCCCTCTGTTTTTATGCAGGATGAATCAATGAGATACATTTCTGAGGGTTGTTCTGGAGTCCTGTATCTCAATCTATCTAACACAACTATCACAAATAGGACAATGCGACTCCTACCAAGGTAATGCATGTTTATTTGTATTGCACAGAAGTGTACTGGCTTACTCTAGCATCCTCCAAAGGAAGTACTCCTTTGCCAACACCCCATCACTGGGGCACCACTATTTTGATAACAGGACTGCTGCTTTCCAGTCCCCAAAGCTGGTGCCTATCCTCTCCTTCCTTGGTGGGCCCAGGTTGAATAATTCGTCCTCTGTCTTGTGTCACTCTTGAAGCAAAGTGTCCAGTAGCTTGAGTTAGGCTCTGCTGTCTCTTGCTGGTCCCCCCTTCCTGAGCAAATTCTAGTCCAGTGTCTAGGACTTCTTTACAACAGAACACCAATGTCCTATTTCCTTAGACTTTGAGCACTGTGTCCCAGATCTCCTGTTGCCATGCTCTGGTTACCTATGGAACCCCCAACCACTACTGATTGTTTTTCCATCTGTGGACTGTTGACAATCCTGGACACAAATGTTGCTTCTCCTAAGCCAGCACTTCTTTGGAGGAAAAGAAACTGAAGAACACAAGACATTGTCAAGAGTTGATAGAATATTCAAATTTATCACAAATTTATGTCATTCAATTGTTCTTTATTTTCACCAAGGAAAGACTAATCAGGAGAAATTCAATGTATTTTCAAGCTACTGTGAACGAATAAACCATTTTAGAGACTACAACTGTTTGAAATTCTTTGAAAAGTAACAGGGAGGCCGTTGGAAAAGCTTAAACAGAGAAAATTCTAGGTAGTAATTTTCCTTATCTCTTCTCTCTAAACATTTTCTGAAAATGTGTAAGCCTAAAAAAAGTGGTAAACCTCTCATTGGAAGCTTGGAATCAGCTAAAACGAAAGTATACTACACCATGAAATATGGCAAACAATACAAATTAGGGCTTTATTTATTTTTTTGTTGATTGTTTAGACTTGAGAAAATGAAGAAAACAATTAATAAAGCAGATTAAATTTAAAAATGTATCCTGTTTGTAGCTACAACATTGTTAATAGCATAAAAATTGAGGAAATATTCTTTTAATGCCTGAAAACTATGATCTCATTCAGCAAAAAAATTCATTCACCTCATTGATGGATGAGTGAAGTCTGACCATACGTCTTTGATTTTTTCACCTTTGTTTTATTCATCATTGTAAATGAAAATATACCTATTCCTAGTCCTCATTTTTTGACCTTTATTTTTATTTTGGGGTGAAAACAAGAAATACAACAGAGTAACAGATTTTATTTTTCCTTCACGCATATGAGAGAAGACAAAAGTATTACCTACATCAATGAGTTTGGCGAAAGTCAGTGAAAGTTTTGTGTGAGGATTGATTACATGGAATTGATAATAGAGTATTATGTATTTTATTATTATTTATGAATTGTATGCTATACATCTTTTAAATCTTCAAAATAGTAAATGTAAAATAGGTGTACAAATTTACAGTAAATGTATGTACATTTATATGCATACATTTTTTTGAAGTGCCAGTAGAAATCTACTATGCTAACAATTAAAGATAAAATAAATTAAGAACTAATTTATATTTTTCCAATAATTAGTCTCCCCATCAAGAACATAGTATACTTCTAAAATTTTTTTTCAAATATTCTTAAATATTTCAATAAAATTTTGTTTTCTTCATATGGATAACTTTATGGAAGTTATTCCTAAGTCTCTTTTTAATTGCCATTGTGAATGGTATGCTTTCTAATTATATTTTCTCATTATATTTTCTGAATGGTCATTTCTGGATGGATATAAAGTACAGATATCTTTTTAACTTTTCATTTATATGATTTAATTGATTTCTTTTATAACAAAAAAGTTTGGCTATGAAATTACCTCTAAATAAGAATGTCATATTATAATAGTGACATATTAGTCTCCTATTATTATCAAGTTTCTCTTAATTTATTTTAATGTTATTTTCTATATACTGATTAATAAGTAGTATGTTTCATTATAGATTGTAGCATTTATTCACATAAAATTATATTCTTTATCCTATACAGTCACCTTTGGTTTTTTTTTGCTTGCTCTTTTGTGGAGTAATGATGTATTCCTGTATTTTTAATCTTTGTGTCACTCGATTTTGGGTTTGTCTTTTACATGCAGCATGAAGCTAACTGCTATTTATAAAATTTTCAGTCTTTCCCTTTTTAAGAGGGTGATTTAGAAGACTACTATTTCTTATCAAAATTGAGTGTATAGTTTTATTTTTGTCATCTTGCTTTATGTCTTTGATTTTTAAAATTTATATATTACTGTACTCATCATTTCTGCTTTTTGCTATATAAACTGTGTTGTTTACTTTTATAATTTGAAGGTATTTCAAATGTATGTGCACATTCTGTTGTGCATTCTAACTAGTGGCTATTTGCATGTTTTTAAAGAACCTACTTTAACATGCTTTTCTCTGTCAAAGTCATGATGAAATGACGACTTTGGCTCCCCCTGTGTTAGACAAAGATCTAATACACTTTAATTCTCCCTTGAGATGCTTCTCCAATTCTGCTCCCCTAAAGCAGATATTAACACATATTAATCATATTGAGCATAATTTTTGTTAATCACTTAACTTCCCTTTTAATATTCATTTTTGGTGTTTGTACTCAATATTATAATTGTATTTATAATGATTATGCAGTCCTAACTCCAGTTTTATCATTCATTGATGGTCCATTGGTTCCACAATTTCCTTATTCTTTAATTTTGATTTTGATTCATCCTATGATGACTAGAATATAGTTTTAAAACTCTTTATCTGGAAAGATGTGCAAGTGTTAGACTTTCAGCTACTGTTTTCTGAAAGTGACTTTCTATTGTCATTTGTCTTGGAGGATGAATCACAACTTCTTTTGGTGTATAGTTCTTGAATCATATCTCTTATTTTATCCTTAAAACCCTACAAATGTTGCACTTAGAGATTTCTGGTTAAAGAGAATCTAAAGCAAGCTTAATTTTTTGTTCTTTTGTTGTAACCTATTTTTTTCTGCCAAGATGCTTGCAAGAAATTCCTTTCCTCTGAGAAATTAAAAAAAACTTTCCAAAATTAATTATGTTCTCTCAATTAACTTCCCTGGAACATAGTAAACCTTTTGAACATTAAAACGTTGATCTTTTCTCAGCCAAGGAAGTATTTTTCTTTTTAATGCTTCTATTCCATTTGTTCAGGTTTTATCTTAAGAATCCCCTTTTATATTTAGATCAAATTTTTATTTCTGCCTTTCAAAGCTGTCATCTTCTCTCTTATCATTTTTATTTCTGAATACATTTCCTCAACATACTGCATTCTCTATATCAGTAGAGCTCTGTTCTGTTTTTTCATATGGGTTCTGCTTCTTTGTTTTCCCATTTTGGCTACCCTGCTGTGTCTGTTTCTATGGACTAAGCAAAGCTCCTCCCGGTCTTACTAGCATGGATTTGTATAGTAGATGTCCAGTGCCATGGTCCTGAGAGGGATTCAGCTGCATGCCAAATTTAGCCACAGCCTGTGCCCCTCCATGGCCACCTGTTAAGATTCAGCAAGCAATCCACAGATGTTATGCTTATAGTTGCCTCAAGAAACCGCAATAGAAACAGAAGCCAGCTGCCACTAGTGTGGCTCAGCAAGGCGCACAGGAATCACAGAGGACACAACTGGATGTGGCTTGGGTGGGGCCGTGAGTTGGGAGGGATGGGGTTTCAGGGAATCCTCTAGGCTGAGTGACCTCTGTTATCCAGTTTGATGACGTCTCAGTTATGGTGGCACTGAGTCTGCACACTAGGAAGAGGGAGGGCTCAACAGAGGAACAATGGATACCTCCATACTTCTGCCCTGGAGGAAGCCTCACCCCTAGCCTTCACTCCAACAACTCAGTGTCTCCCTGTAAGTCTCTGGTGCACCCTGAGCAGCTGACCCAGTGCCAGTGCTCAGAGGGAGCGAGTCTGTCACTACAAAAGTTTAGTCGCAGTTGCATCTGCATTAAAAGGAACACCTGCCGCTGTCGTAGCCTCTGTGCCACTCGGCCACTCAGGACAGGCAGCCTCATATCTTTACCACTTCATACCTCCTACCATTGCAAAGTGATTTCTTATTTCTCTCCCTCGTTGTAGGGCTTCTGTTCATCTAGGCCCCAGGTGACTCTGCTTGCTGTTTGTTCCGTGTTTTCGTCATAACTTTGATGTGGTTGCAAGAAGAGATGAACAAGCCTCTATCATCTACACCATTTTGCCCGGTCTCTCGAGAATTTTGTTTTGATTTTAACTTCTAGTTCTTGCTATTGAGAGGACATTTAGGATAAATGCTACTTGATATTGATGTTTTCTGTCACATGAAAAAAATGTACAGTGGCTTTCTTATCTATGAAAAAAATCACATTTCATAATGAGTCTCTATTTTTGCTTGTTTTTCATTGTTTCAAACATGCTTGAGTATGCAAAAATGTTCCTTAAACCAAAAATAACCAGAGAAATATTATTTGTTGCTGTTGTCATTCCCTCTTCAATGCCTTTAGTGTTTCTTTCCAAAGAAATCATTTGCCAGAAGAAATATGTAATTTGTTTGCCCTTCTGGCAACATTGACTTGCCAGTTTTTTATTTGAATACTTTCTTCACTTCTTTGGGGACTTGTTTAGTTTTCTAAAGTTGAAAATGAGGGCTGCCCACAGCTTATGCCCATTCCAGGACATTTTTTGCTTCTAAATATTTCCTGAATTGCACACTTTCCATTTATTCCTATTGCCACAACCTAGGTGGCACTCTCAGCACCTCATTTGGAATAGCACCCTGATGGTTCAGCCTCTGGTCTCTCTTCCTTCAATCTGCTCTGCCCTCTCTGCCATAAGTATCACCCTGGAACAAATAGTCTTATCATGTCTTTGACATGCTTAAGGTCTAGATTCTTCCCTTACTGTCCTTTAACATTATCTGATCAAACTTATCTGCCCAGGTTTTCTAAGTCCCTAATTCCCATCATCTGATTGCTACATGCTTCTCTTTCTCTACAGCTGGAATGCCTTTCTTTTTCTTTGCTAATCCACAGCCTTTGCACTTCAAGTCACACCATCTACCAGAAGTTCATGGTCATTTCTCCTTTCCCTGAATTCTAATAGTAACATTCACTCACTTATTCACCATGTGTTGATCAATTACTATGTGTGAGGCATTCTAGGCATATAGCGGTAAGTAAAGCTATTATGATCTTTGCTCCTTAATGGAGCATTATATGCTATAGTGGCATGTTGTCTCATTATTTTTCATATAGATGAATTGATCCTTCAATTGGCTTGAAAACCTCTTTTTGTCAGGCACTCTCATGTTATATGGTCTCACCAGTGGCCTTCAGAATGGGGCAGACAGAGGTAGCTGTTGCCTTGACTGGAAATCATCAAAGTCTACCCTGAAAATAGGTCAAAACACTGCCTTTGAATTTTCTGTAGAAATCCTATTATCTGAAAAGAGTCCAACACTTGACTCAAAAGAATCCTCATGTAAATCCTCTCTTTTATAGAGTAAGCTTATGTCTTAAAAATACATTCCTTCCAGTTGTAACTGCCTCATATATTGGAGATCTAACACAGAAGGCCTCAATTCTTTAATGGAAAAAAAAAAAGCCAGTAAACTGGAGAAAAAATTCTCTGTAGTTTCTTCAAGAATCGTGAAATCACAAAGAGAAACCCTCGCCTTACATAAGAAACAGTTATCAAAGAATTAGAAAATGATAAACTCAGACAACAAACACTATCTAGGAGAGGAATCAGAATTATCAAGTTGTTTCTGGGTTGGGAAAATGATGAACCATTTTACTCTTGTAAGGGACACGTTTCTTTGCTAAAATTTAGAATAAAAAGTAGGAGTATTGCATAAAATTTGCCAAATGCAATTTCACTGTCAAATGATACTTTCCTCTTCCCCAGGAAAAAAGTGTCTGCAGCCCTATAAATCCCTAGAAAGGCCTACAGGGCCACTAAAGATTCCTGTGCTTTGCTTTCAAATTGATGATTCTCATGAAGTTCCACCTCGAGAGAGCCATCTAGAGACTTTCAATCTGGGAGTCATTTGGTCTAATGAACATCTCTTTTGCCAAACCCAATATTCTTAACCTTGGGTGGATGTCCCAAGGAGACCAATGATAAAATTCAGAGGTTCCATGAATTTTAATGGAGAAAACAAATCTCTATTTTACTAATCTCTAACTGAAATGTAAGTTAAAAATTAGCATAGTAATAGTAATCCCCGGAACTCTCACCCATATAAATTACAAATGTTTTCTTATCACAAATATTTTCTTATTATAGTTGTTACAAATATTTCAAAATATCATTGGCACTCATCACTACTTCAAAATCATAGTAGTTATTAGATCTCTACTAGATCTTATTTAATATGTTAATAAAGATGCACATATATTATTTCACTCATTTGATTTTCTAAAGCATCTTGATAATATTTTTCAATGTAATTGTCTGCTTTTGTAATTTTAAGTATTTTCTTTTATGCATTAATAACATTATGCTGACAAAGATATATGTCCGTATATCTATAGGTATCTGTGACAGACAAAAAGTTGAGAAATCCTAACTCAATTCCTACTTTTGGTATTGTTAATTGATCACGTGGACTTTAAGAAATTGAACAATAGGCTTGAATCAGATTTAAATAAATTTGAATATGCATGATTTGTAAGTTTCATTACTAAAGTAAAAGAAAGACTAATTGAAAATGGGATAAGAAGAACAGTCTGCAAATGATTAGGCAACGCATGAGAGTAATAAAAACTACATCAGAGACTATCAATCTCAACAGAGTTGAAACCAATTAAATATGTCATTACTACCATGGCCAAAATGAGAGTATAGATGCAATGCGAGGACCCCAAGCTCTTGAATCAGTCATTTGCACCACCCTTGTCAGATGAGTGTTTATTCCATTAAGTGAAAGAAGATAGTACAAACTCCATAAGAACAATTGATATGTTATTATTATTTTAGGTAGTAGTTGCAATAATAACAATATATATTTTAAAAAGCTTCTACCATGTCTCTGCTGATTTTAATCATCAAAAATCACCCTCAATATAACACTATTACATCCTCGTTCTCATTTAATTGTCACACCTCTAAGAGGAAATTGCGGATAGGATTATACCCATGTTATAGATGAGAAAACTGAATTTCAGGAAAGCTGGAGGCCCCACAGTTGGTTAGGCTTGAAAAAAAAAAATTATCATCTCCACTTAACAAATGTGGAAACAGTCTGTGAGAGGATAGGGAAGTTGCAGTGTCAGGGCTGAGATTTGAATCCAATTTGGTCAGATTCCAGAACCTTGAGTATTTTCCATTGTGTCATGCTGCCTGCCTTACTACTCCTTTCTCCAAATCAGAGGGCTGTTAGAAATGACATCCCCTCCCACCCCCGACCCCATCCCCAGAAACTTGTACTTCACTCAGTTGACTCACAAGGATACACTCCAGGGAAAGAAAAATAAAGCATTTCCAAAACTTTGGCAGAAGTCTTAGTTAATTAAATGGCCCTAGGAGAGGGGATGTGTCTTTGGGATGTTAGTGCTGCTTTTTCCTTTATGGCCCTGCCTACCCAGCCACTGGGGAATCCAGAAGGCATGCCTCTCTGTTCTGTTGAATCTCTGGGACACAGCCATTACCGGAGAGAATGTGTGATCTGAACCAAATGATTTGCTATGGAATGGGAATCATTATATCATATAGATGTGTTTTTTAAATTTTAGTAATAAACCTGATTAATGATCAATGCTTGCATATCTTATTTACCATTTTTGTGAAGGTGAACTTTATTAGTCATTGTGGGCTTTTGAGAGACAGAGAGGCATCTTTTTCCACTCTTGTTCTTTTGCTTTCTAATTTGCTGTTAAACTGTTGCAGATCACGAAACAAGAGCATGCTGTTAATTCCATTACAAGAGCAGGCAGTAGTGGGAGTTCTTGTACTTTTAAAAAATGCCAGGCTTAGGAAGGTTTGGAAAATTGTCCACAGAGTATCCTCGAACTGTGAGCCCTTGCACAGTAGTACAGACTTGCCTAATTACCTTCTTTTTTTTTTTTCCTGGAAGCTCTCATTTTGGTCATGGTGGTAATGCCATACTTAATCGGCTTCAACTCCAGTGTGATTGATAGTCTCTGAAGTAGGTTTTATTCCTTCATTTGTTTCCCACTCACTCGCAGACTGTTCTTATCCCATTTTTAAACTCTATATCTAATTGATATAGTCTTTTTTTAACTATAGTAATGAAACTGTTACAAAATCATGCATATGCAAATCTATTTTTTCAAACCATTTGCTTATCATGTCCATTTTAAAGAGCCTGTAATGTTTTACTTTGCCTCCTTTCTGCCCAAATCTTCACTTTCATGTAACAGTTAATCGCCATTTAAATGTTTACAAAGGCTTTGTCCTTCTAGACATATTGCACATTGTTTTGGTGCGCCAGCAATAAAACCTAAATGCAACAATAATGCAAACTCTATAACTTTGTTTTCAAACACAAACTAACTTCCAAACAATATGAATACACCAATCTTCCTGCCCCCAAAGCTTTATCTTAATCAGCTTTCTTAAAAATCTAGGCAAATGTTCTTTATTTTCATTTGACATGTAATTAGGCATTATCTGATATGCTACTGCAATCTCCTTAACAGGAAGAGAATTAGCAATAAAGTTTAACTGTTGAATATCTGCAAGGAGAAACGATTAATTTACAGTTTTACTTCTCTTTGTCATAGCAGCTTAAGAAAGATGTGAGAAAACAACTATAGTCACTTACTTTCCTTCCTCTCTCTCTCTCACCCTGTCTTTTCAGGCACTTCCACAACTTACAGAATCTTAGTTTGGCTTATTGCAGAAAGTTCACAGACAAAGGTTTACAGTACCTGAATTTAGGGAATGGATGCCACAAGCTCATCTATTTGGACCTCTCCGGCTGCACCCAGGTTTGTCTTTCAGTCTTCTCTTCTCTGCAGCAGGCGGGGAAGTCCTATGGAGGACGGGCTACATCCAGACTTCATGTTATACTAACCCTGTGCGCTCTGCACGGACTACAACACGCTTTTCAGAGGTTTTAAATTACATGGCCACAGCTGCTTAAATTTCCCTCAGGATCGCTACTATAGGCTCTTGGCTTCCTTCCACTGGAGTGTCACAGCCACAAGCAGGCAGAGCTCATTGGATGATGAAACAGACCACTTCTCTGTAGATACTCTGAGCACAGTTGTAATACCAGAATCCAAATCTTGAAAAATTTAGAGTTGCTACCAAGATGCAAACAAAAGAAAACCTTTTAGGGGGAGAATTTGCAAAGAATTTCCTGAAAAGTCAGTTAGCTCCCTTATGGGCTTTCAAAAGTAAATAGCATTGGGTAAAATGCTGCAAATATAAATATAAATAAGGAAATACAACAAAGATTGTAATTTTAAAAATTGCATTCTATATTTAGAATAAATAACATGAAGATTTGAGGTCTACATGGGGATATATTTAAATCTGAAAAAACAAGATTAAGCAAAACTGGGCAAAAACTAGGGTGGAGTTGTGGAGCGTTGGGCACGGAATTTTGGAAATAGGTGCTGCCTCAGCGATAGTTTCTTCTGTTCTATTTTGGTAGATTTAAGTCATAATTCTTTTAACTTCTTTTCTCCTACCTCTCTGCATATTTTATTGATATTAGTATCATAGTATGTTCATCATTCTATGAGAATAATATAATAGCACGAATTAGAACTGGCTGAAATATTATAATTACCATTTATTGAGTTGTGACTATATGCCGGGCACCATGTTGAATGCTTTACACTGATCGAATTTATTCCTCACACAAATGCTGTGTAGTATGTATTCATTATGTCCATTTAGATGAAGAAACCAAGGTTCCCAAGGTTGCACAAGCTAGTAAAATGGTACTGTTGCTGTTATAAGCACCTACTGGTAGATGCCTAGGCAGGTAGATTCCCCTGGAGGAGATGAGGGGCAGCAGGGTTTTTCCTCCAAGTTCTTGAATGGACAGAAAAATTCTCACTTCACCACCACCACTGCCATACTGTGGTTTCATGATTACGAGGCAGCGGGGATATAGGAGAAAGAAGGGGAAGACTCTGAACTAGGGCTGAACATCTAGAATTTATATTTGTTTATGATCTAATGATGTGTAATTTGCCGAACATCAACATCTACAATTGCTCTTATGACTAAGATGGCCTTAATACGGCTTCCAGCTCGACGAAACTTCTTCCTGACTTTAGGCCCCTGACCTATTTTCTTAGAACATATCTTTAGAAAACTTTTAGTTGTACATTTTTTCCCTGTTCTCTTTGATATGTAAAGCTCTTAAAAATCTTCTGGCCAGTTTTACAACCCAGGAATGTCTTCCACAAGGACCTTAGAGCCTTTGAAATGTAATCATCAAGGGAGATAGCACCAGTGTCTCCTAGTCTCTGTGGGAGGACAGAAGCCTAACTTTGATATGGGTGTCAGCAAATGCAGTTGTCCTAATTACAAAGAAAAAAATCTGCAAATTCAGGAATAACTCAATGTGTTTGACACATCCCATCGATTACTCTCCCCTCTAAATATATGTCCTCTGATACTTTTCTGCTAGCTCACATCATGCTTGAAAACTCTCCCCACAAGTGTGACTTACCTATCCTGTTCTTCTGTTTCCACAAGGTAATTATTGTAGCAATAACACACAACACATACACAGACATGCAAATACACATGGATAGGTCCTAAGGATAAATATTCTCAGACTTAGTAAAGTTAAAATGAGAAGTTTCAACTCAATGACCCTCTGGGTAAATATGTATGCAAAACAGACAGACAAAGTCGTTTTAAGCCAACATTTAAAATATTAAAGTTTTCACATAAAAATCTGGACTTCAAGCTTCTCTTAAAAAACTGGAAAAACTAGCAAAATTGGGACTGCATTCCCACAAGACAATAATGGGCTGGAGCTGAGTCAGCTCACCTCCTTGAGTGGAGCATGCTCTTCTGTTTGCCACCCTCTCCTCCACTCAGTAATGTCTACGCATACACTTACACCTAGAATGCTACCATTTAATTGCATCTCCTGCCTGTCCTCAGCAGGTATTTCAGTTTGGTCTGAATGTATAATGAATTGAGTTTTTTCTGATTGTCCTGTAATTTGTCTCAAACCACAGTGAAGTTAGTATTTCATATCATTATGCAAAAAATGTTGGTTTCTTTTGTTCATCTCTCTTCCATTTCATTTGTTCATTTAATAATTCAACAGAGATTTCACTCTAGGTGTCAGACACTGTTTCAGGCACTGGAAATGTTGCCATTTAAAACTGAGCCCCTTTAGGCCCACTGGGAGTAAGATATAGGCTCATTATGAACTATCGGTATCTTAAAAATGGCTGCCACTGTAACTTCAGAATTGGTGAAATTTGTATGCTACTGCTTCTGAGAGACTTAAGTCCTTTGAGGATACTCTACCTCCCTAGCTCTGGGTGTGAGGATAGTTTCACCCCTCCAGGCCTAATTGTATAGATATGACAGCAAGAAAAATGATTTCAAAGAAGGAAAATTGACAATTCATAGATTTTTCAGGTTTTCCTCTTGGAAACTAAAAGCTATTTTCTTTTTATGTTGGAAATTTTGCACTATAAAGTCATGTATTACTATATCTGACCAAGAAAGTAGGCCTTAATAAAACAAAAGGACTTGGGGACAGATTCTAACAACTAAATTCTTTTCTTCGGTGTTTTTTGAGTGCCTGCTACATACTGGGCACCGTGACGAGTAAAACAGCATCCCTGTCTTCCAGGAACTCTGGATTAACATAAATGAAATATGTCAAGGGCTAAACCTTCATGCAGTCACAGCTGCCTAAAAAAAGGAAAGATGGATTTATACAACATTGAGAAAGAATTTTAACCATACTTGTTAGAAAAAAAATAAATAAATGAATGATGGACAACTGCAAAGGAAAGTGAAAATCAATTATATATATTTTAGAAATATTCTGCATTCTTTTGGGATCAGGTAAACACTATCAGTGCATTAGATAATGTGACCAATTTCCTGATAAATGCATGTTGTCATCCTCGATATGGTTGAGGTGATGCCTCAGTTCAGTTTCCCCTCCTCAGAGATGCCTCTGCATACTCTCAGCCCTAAATCAGGATAGGGCTGCTCCAGCAAGCTCTTTTCCTATCCATTGCAAACCATGTATTTGTCACCTTGAATTTTCTAGTTTTCTTTTTTCACTTAAAAAAAACCTTTGCTCTTTTTCCTTGTCCATGTTAAAAAGAGAGAGAGAGAGAGAAAGGAAGAAGAAATTTTTAATTATCTGAAAATTCACAATACAGAAATAATAAGCACTATTAATATTTAAGGGTAAAGCTTTCTGATCTTTTTTCTATGCACATCTATATTATTTTTATTTATTTTTACCTGTTTTTTAATTAAGTTTATTGGGGTAACATTGGTTAATACAATTATATAATTTTCAGGTATATACTATAATTCGATATCTATATATTCTATTGTGTGTTTACCACCCGAAGTCCAGTTTCCTTCAGCTACCATGTATTTGATCCCTTTTACCCACTTCACCCTCCCCCTGTTCCCTATATTTGACTCTTTTACCCCATCTACTTCTTCCCTCCTCCCCCACCTCTTGACCCCTGGTAACCACAAGTCCATTGTCTATGTTTACGAGTTTCTGTTTTTTGTCTTGTTCATTTGTTGCTTTTAGGTTTATATCCCACATGTAAGTGATATCATGTGATTTTCAACTTTTTCTGTCTGGCTTATTTCACTTAGCATGATTATCTCTAGGTCCATCCATGTTGTCACAAATGGCAGTATTTCATCTCTTCCTATGGCTGAGTAATATTCTATTGTAAATATGTACCACAGCTTCTTTAGCCAATCATCTATCATAGGATACTTCAGTTGCTTCTATGTCCTGGCCACTGTGAATAATGCTGCTATGAACATCAGTGTGCAAATCTCTTTTTGTATATGGGTTTTCAAGTCTTTGGGGATAAATACCCAGTAGAGCTGGATCACATGGTAGATCAACTCTTAGTTTTTTTGAGGAAACTCCATACTGTTTTCTATAGTGGCTGTACCAATTTGCAGTCCCACCAGCAGTGTAT